GTTGTGAGCAGGTGTGAGGCTTAATTTTCCTGCCTGCTCTCAGTGGTATCTGTTAGCTCCAGAGCTCTAAAACCTGTTGTGTGTTTTCCTGCCTTCTGTTTCAGCCCCTGCTGTAAAAAAATACCCCCAAAGCCCAGATTTATCAGTCCTGTGTTGCTGAGGCCTTTTGGTTGCAGAGAGTGAGTGTGGCTGGAGGAAATGGGAACACATCTCCCCCGAGGAGCCACTCACATACCTCTCCCTCACTTCCAGGCCCAGCAACATGTCATCAGTGCCAAAAGGCTTCCAGCTCTAGACTGTGCAGCTGGGATCAGTGGCTGCACTTGGAACAGGGGAAGGATTTGTTCCTCCTTCTTTGCACTAGGGAGAATCAGTTACCTTTAAGATCATTTTAGTTACAGATAGTTTGGTGCAGCATTTCCATAGGAAAGGCTGGGGAATGAACTCTCTCCACACAGGATCACAGTCATCCCAAGCAGGAAAACAGGTAGACACTAGCAGTGTGGAGCTCCATCAGGGAATTCTTGACCTCAGGAGGTAGATCCAGGCAAGTGTTTATCCCTGCAGCTCTGGGGGCTGTTGGATGGGGTGAGGCTCAGAGGTGGTGAGGTAATGGCATCTGTTTCCTCAGAAAGCAGCTGGAAAACACCAGCCAGCTCCATGCTGGGGCCACCAGGTGGGAGCAGGTGAGCTCAGCCTGAAAAAAGAGACAGAGGTGATGAGGTTGAGTTTTTCCCCTTTAGAAAACAGGAGGTTTTTTTCGCCCTTCCTGTACCACAGCTGTAACAACCTGGTCATGTCTGTGAAATAAGGATATTCCTGACCATGCTTGAGGCTTGATGTGAGAGCCAAACTGCTTTGGGAAATAGGCTGTGGTGTCTCTGTTTAATGCATGGAAACATCCTGTGCTGGGATGAGGCAGCAGTGGAGATTGTCAGCACTCAGAGCCCTGTAAGGTCCTATGTGCAGATCCATTTCTCTGTGGGCATCTTGGGCCAATCCTGACTCTCAGCATCCATGTCCAGCTCAAAAGGCAACTGCTGTCTTCAGGGAGTGTGTACCAGCACTGTGCTGCTGCCTTTCCCTCTGTGTAACCTGCATAAGGTGCAGCAGGGAATGTGAGAAAGTCATGGAATGGCTTTATTAACACCCCAAGTATATTCTGTGATCCCAAGTTTTCTGTCAGGTGGAAACACCTAATCATTTCTTCTGTGTTGATCTCAATGCAGCTGTTCTAGAAAAACAGCTTGAAGGGAGATGAATATTCTTGACCATACCCAGATAACAATGAAGCCTTTTCCTCCTCACATCCAACAAATACTTCCTAAGTCAGTGTTTTCACTGCTACACAGGTGCAAAGTTTGACTTGATGTGCCACAGACACAGAGTTTCTATAGCCCTTTAGAGTTGGGTTGAGTTTAGTTGGCAGCGCTTTGGCTGATCAAAGCTTTGCTCGATGCTTCCTGTGTCGTGTGGGTTTGGATGCAGGCATGATTTCCCCTTGGAAAAAAGAGAGGATAGTGGAAAAAACCAGCTCTGCTCTCAGCCTGGGTGTGCTTTGGGGTGGAAACGTGTAGATAGACTCAACTCTTCCCTCTGCCCATCCCTGCAGGTCGAATCAAGTACTCGGAGCGAGTGTACGACGCGTGCATGGATACCTTTGACTGTCTTCCTCTTGCTGCCCTCCTAAACCAGCAATTCCTGTGTGTCCACGGAGGACTGTCTCCAGAAATCACGTGTCTAGATGACATTAGGAAAGTAAGTCATCTCCGTGGGCCTTTCCCATCACTTCCCCTTCACCCTGTGGTTCATGGTTGACTCCTGCACGGAGCTGCAGGTGGGGGCTGAGGTGGGTGTTCCCTGCCCCAGCTGCTCCCAGCAGCCTCCTGATGGTGGGTACGTTTTCCAGTTAGACAGGTTTAAGGAGCCTCCAGCCTTTGGTCCAATGTGTGACCTGCTGTGGTCTGACCCCTCGGAGGATTACGGCAATGAGAAGACGTTGGAGCATTTTGCCCACAACACTGTCCGAGGCTGCTCCTATTTCTACAGGTGAGAGGAGTTTTGGGGAGCTCTGATGGACCAGAGCTTTTTGTCTTCCCTTGCACTGAGATAAATCACTGTTCAGGTCACTCAGTGCACTGTGCCTGGCTCTGAAATAGTCTTCACTTGGCTCTGATGCATTAATTCTTGTTTGTTTTTCCTCCTCCTGTAATATTGAGTTCTCTCTGGATGAGTTACTTCATGAATTTGTGGTCTCAGACAGCAGAGATGCTTTTTTTGGCTGGCAGGGTGCCCTGTGAGTGCTTCTCAGACACTGGGCAGTACCAGGATCTCTAGGAAATAAGCTTTTCCTGCCTAATAAAGAAGGATTAGTGCTGACAGACCATTTGTAGGGAAGGTTTGGCACCAGACCTCTGTTTACCAGAACCCTTTGCAATTAATATTTGAGTGATGTAATATCTCCTGGCCTTGTTTGGGGGTGCTGGCCACGAGCTGGATGGCTGCAGAAACATGCTTAACAACACATCCTTGCCTTTTGTTTTGCAGTTACCCTGCAGTGTGTGAATTCCTGCAGAACAATAGTTTGTTATCCGTGATCAGAGCTCACGAAGCCCAGGATGCTGGGTAAGTGCTGCAGCCCTTAGAGCTGAGCAGCTTTGGGCTCTCCTCAGCAGTGTCTTAACACTTGGGCTGTGTTTCAGGTACCGAATGTACAGGAAGAGCCAGACAACAGGCTTTCCCTCACTAATCACAATCTTCTCTGCACCAAATTACCTAGATGTCTATAACAACAAGGGTAAGGCTGGGGCTCTGCTGCTCTTGGGATGTCAGCAATGTCCTCACGTGGTCAGGACATCCCTCTCCCTCTTTCCTCTCCCACTCTGCCCTCTCAGAATCATTGAGGTTGGAAAATGCCTCCAAGATCATCAAGTCCAACCTGTGACCCATCACCACCATTGTCAGCTAGACTAGAGCACCGAGTGCCATGTCCAGTCCTTCCTTGAACACCTCCATGGTGACTCCACCACCTCCCTGAGCAGCACATTCCAATGCCTGAGAGCCCTTTCCATGAAGGAATTCCTCCTGATGTCCAACCTGACCCTCCCCTGGCACAGCTTGAGGCTGTTTCCTCTTGTCCTTTTGTTGCCTGGGAGCAGATCCTGATCCCACCTGGCTACACCTCCTGGCAGAAGTTGTGGAGAATGAGAAGGTCCTCCCTGAGCCTCCTTTTCTCCAGGCTGAGCTCCCCCAACTCCCTCAGCTGCTCCTTGGGAGTTCTCCATCCCCTTCCCTAGCTCCATTCCCTTCTCAGGACACCTCCAGCCCCTCAGTGTCTCTTGTAGTGAGGGCCCAGAGCTGACACAGCACACTGTGCCTGGCACAGAGGGACAGTCCCTGCTCTGCTCCTGCTGCCACACTTGTTTGGATACACAAACACACACTATTTTGACACAAAACCCTCTCCTCCAGTCACATTCTTGTGCTTGAGATGAAAGAGAGCTCTGTGTGCTGAACTGAAGTGGTTGTTTCTCTGACTTAATATATGACTCTGGCAATTAGCTGTCAAGTCCTAAGGCCTGAAACAAAGCTTTCATTCCCAGCCAGGGGACAACTGAGCCCTATTGAGGGATGCTCCAGCCAAGAGAATCTGATAGTGTAGGCATGTTCTCCACTTCTCTCTGCCCTTAAACCATGAGGGAATTTTTTTAAGCCATGGGGTTTTTTACCCCTCACGTTGAGTCCTGGCTCTGGGTTCATCACTGATGATTTGCATAAATTTAAACAGCTTTATTTGATTGACCTTCACTGTTCTAAGCTTTAGTGAAACAACATGAGTCAACCAAAAGATGACTGTTTAAACCTTCTCCTTTTGGTAGTTTGATCCTACATGAGAGTAACCTCATGCTGATAAGGATTTTTCATCAGCATGGGTACAACTCCCAGGGGTTGACAGGCTGGGAGAGTTGGGGGTGTCCAGCCTGGAGAAAAGAAGGTTCCAGGGGCGCCTTAGAGCCCCTTCCAGTGCCTAAAGGAGCTCCAAGAGAGCTGGAGAGGGACCTGGGACAAGGGCCTGGAGGGACAGAACAAGAGGGAATGGCCTTGAGCTGCAGGAGGGAAGGTTTAGGTTGGATATTAGAAAGAAATTCCTCCCTGTGAGGGTGCTGAGGCACTGGCACAGAGAAGCTGTGGCTGCTCCATCCCTGGAAGTGTTTAAGGCCAGGTTGGATGGGGCTTGGAGCAACCTGGGCTAGTAGGAGGGGTCCCTGGGGGTGGAATGAGATGAGCTTTAGGGTCCCTTCCAACCCAAACCATCGTGGGATTCTCTGAGTTGACAGTGCCCATGGACTTGTGTTCTCTTTCCTTTTTCTCTCCTAGCTGCTGTACTGAAATATGAAAACAATGTCATGAACATCAGGCAGTTCAACTGTTCCCCTCACCCCTACTGGCTTCCAAACTTCATGGATGTCTTCACATGGTCTTTGCCTTTCGTAGGGGAAAAGGGTAAGAAACCTTTGGATTCCTGAGTTCCCAGTGGCTGTTCAGAGTTCCCTGAGTGTTACAACCCTGTCCCACGGGTGTTAGGAGTGTTGTAGCTCATTAATAGCAGGTAGCCCTGGAAAGCTGTTCATGTTCAAGGAGATCTGTATATCACTGGGTTAAATTCTTGGGAAAATAGCTGTTGATAATGTGTTTTACAAAGCTCTTACCAATAGAACATTCCTTTCTTGCTCCCTGCATTGCTGATGGAGCTGATCTGGGGTGGTGTGGCCCCACCTCAGAATTTGGAGAGGTTTCTCTTGCTCTGGGTTTGCCACAGAGGAATTCAAACCTCCTTCTGGCTCATGGCCCACCCCAAAGGAAACATTCCCTTCACCCAGAGCTTTATTTCCTTCTCAAGGAGAGGAGGCAGCTTAAAATATGACCAAGACTTTGCCTCAGCCTTTCAGCAAAAGGATTTTTACATCTCCTGAGGGCTTTAAATTCCACCCCAGTGTTGCATGTTTGGATTGTGGCTTCAAGCTCTGAACTGCCAAAGGTTGTTTTGACTTTGAGGCACCAAGGGTTGACTCCCACCCCCCCAAATTCAGCCTTCTTGGAGCCAGGTGGCCTGTTGGGGTGGGGAGGTGGGACCTTGAGTGAGCTCAGGCTGTTCTGCAGGAATGTTGGCACCCCTCTCCCAATGTCTGGTTCATCTGTGATGTGCTTGGACTGCGTCCACCTCCTTGGCAGAGGATGTAACGTATGTCTGCTCTGGTACCGCTGTGAGGTACCAGCAGTCTGCAGCTAAAAGTGTCTTCAGGCTTCAACTTCTAGGCTGTCAATGACCTTGAAATCACTCCCTGGTCCAACTTGTCCTCCAGATCTCTCTGACCTCCTTGTCTGTGTTTCTTGCAGTCACCGAGATGCTTGTTAACATCCTCAACATCTGCTCCGACGACGAGTTGATTTCGGATGGGGATGAGACATTGGAAGGTAAAACATCACTGGTGGGGCCTGGTAGCAGTGGGGGGGGAAGGTGGGGAAGGTGTTTGCTGCCTGAGCAGCACTGGATTTATAGCTGGCTGCCCAGCCAGGGTCTCCAGGTCCCTTTTGGCCAAACCTTGTGCAGTTCTGGGTAGGAAACATCTTATTTTTTTTGTCGCCTTTGCTGTTCAGTCACAGAGAAATTCAATGACATTCACTGCGACAGATACTCCTTGCCAGCTACTCTGACGATGGTTTCCTGCTCCTTACACAGGCTGCTGGTTATTTTTTTCCCCCCAATTCAAGATTTTCTGCGCCAAAATATCCACCCAATCTTCTCATCTGTTGCAGTGAACTCTCCTCTAAAGTGGCTTCTCATGTCACACCCCCCCCCAAAACCAGAAAGCAGGTTTTGGCCCTGATTTGAAGCTCTGCATGAAAGGGACAAATCAGTGGCTGAGCTGCTGTGCAGTTTGGATTTGGGGGGCACTCAGGAGCGAGGTGGTGACCTGAGGAAGCTGAGGCACAGCCATGGGGTGCAGTGAGAAGTGGGGCCCTGAGTGTGCTTCGCTCCCAGGTGGAGACTCTAACCTGCTTCTCCCATTGCATTTCGTTCTTGCTTTTTTTGTTGTTTTTCTTTTTTTTGTTTGTTTTGTTTTGTTTTCTTTCCTCCCTCCCATGAAAATTAAATTTGTTTCTTCTATCTCTGTCTTCATCTACTTGTTTCTTGGTGTCTCCTCTCCCTGAAGATCACTACATTTCAAGCTATCCGAAAGGTACCCAGCTAGAATTTGCTACGAGCTTAATTATCACTGCCTGTGCCACCAGATCCTTGAAGTGGATTTCGATAGCTGACTAGTGGGGCAGTCTCTTCATCCCTTTCAGTTTTAACATAAGCTCCATGTGTTTTTTTAACCCCTTTCTACGTTCCTCCAGGAACTTGAGAAACGAGGTCACGTTTCTACCTGACTCTGAATGCAGCCACGTAGTGCATGGCTGAGCCATGGTGCATGTTAGACCCGGGTTTGGCTTTCCTGTCCTGATGTGTACTGGGCCACGTGAGGAATCTCAGCTGAGAGGAGATGTATTTTTCCCTCTTTTCCCTGAGTTTTTGAGTTGGTTCCAGCTCCCTTCCATGCTTTCTTCTCTCCCGTTCGGCCTGCAGAGCGGAAAGGGAGTTCACCTCTCTCACGTTGTGTTTGTGTGTGGGGTCAGAGCAGAGTTGCAAGGCTCCTGCCAGCCCTCCCCTGTGCGCCTTGGATGCCAGAGCTGATGCTTGTGTGACACTCCTCCCTGCAGCGAGCACAGCAGTGCCATCAGCAGTCAGATCCGACCGTGTTCTGCCTTGCAAACTGTGTCTACATGGCTGAGTCATTTGTGTTACATCCTGTGTAGTGTGAGCCAACCTGGTGAGCTTCCAACAAAGACCTCCCCGAATCGTGTCCTGTGGTGGTTCTACTCTCTCTAGACCTCTTAAATCCGTGTGTCATCTTGTTGGTGTTGCCCTTCTCACTGCCATCCTGATGCCATCCTTCCAGCACCGTTCTCTCTCCAGTGTAGCTCTCAGTCTGTGTGCCAGGAGTTCTCTTCCTGGAGTCAGGCAGGTGCTTCATCACTGACATTCCCTGGAAAGCAGGAAACCTTCAACAGGCTGCTGTTCGCTCTTTTCTCTCCCTAAGGTGGGACAACAGTGCGTAAAGAGATCATCAGGAATAAGATCAGAGCCATTGGGAAGATGGCACGTGTCTTCTCGGTCCTTCGGTGAGGAGCAGCTGGGGCTTGGGGCTGGGTCTGATTTGGGGGCTGGGTTTAGTCTGAGGATGGGTTTAATTTGGGGGCTGGATTTAATTTCATACAATCACAGAATAGGGTTGGAAGAGACCCTCGAGGATCATCTAGTCCAACTCTTGACCCTGCACAGGACATCCCTAAGAATCACATCATGTCCCTGTAGGGGCTGGGCTTATTTGGGCACTGGGTTTAATTTGTGGGCTGAGTTTAATTTGGGCAAAGGGGGAAGTTGGGCAGGAAGAAAGGAGGGGAAAAGCCTCATAAGACTCTTGCTCCACAGCAGGTGTCAGAGGCTTCAGGTGGTGGTTTCTGACTCTTGTACCTGAAAGAAGGTTGTATGAGGTGTGGGGGTTGGTCTCCTCCCAGGTAGGAAGTGACAGGATGAGAGGGAATAGCCTCAAGTTGCACCAGGTGAGGTTTAGATTGGGTATTAGAGAAAACTGCTTCATGGAAAGGGTTGTCCAGCCTTGGCACAGGTGGAGTCACCATCCCTGGAGGGGACACGTGGATGTGGCACTTGGGGACTTAGTGATAGACATGGTGATGGTGTTGGGTTGATGGTTGGACTTGGTGATCTTAAAGGACTTTTGCCACCTTAATGAACCCACAATTCCACGATTTCTGAGGCACGGGGCAGGCTCCCCTTTCACCACCTTGCCTGGACCAGTATGACCATTGCAATTCTTCATGTAACTGGTTGTGTTGCTGTTTGCAGGGAGGAGAGTGAGAGCGTGCTGACCCTCAAAGGCCTGACCCCCACAGGTACCCTGCCCCTGGGAGTGCTCTCAGGGGGGAGGCAGACCCTCCAGACTGGTGAGTAGTCTTGATTCCCCCTCTCTGCACTTCTCTACCTGCCCCCAGACCTCTGGGCCAGCTCCCATGGGCAGACTTGAGGGTGCCAGGGGAGCCCAAAGAGGGTTCAGCCCACGGGGAGGAAGGACTCAGGAATAGGAAGAAGCAGAGGTGTAGGTGGGGATGTGGAGAGCCTGCCAAGATGTCCCTGTGTACCCTCGAGGAAGGAAACCCACAGCACTGCCTACAGCATGTGTATTGCTTAATGTATGTTTCTGCAATGACTTTTATCCTTTCTTTCCCTTCTGATGCTGCATGGTGCACATCCTCTGCCTCCCCTCGCTGCTGCTGCTGTGTGACAGCCTCTGTATGAGTGTGACAGTGACACACCTGCTTGTTTGTTCCTCGTTAAACCAGTCCTTTCCAAATGTCACCCTGGGAAATCAGGAATCCCAAACACAGGAAGGTTGAACATCCCTCCAGGCCTACATCTTTCATGTTAAGATTCCTCTCAGGTTTTGATCTGATTTTGGAGGTTTCTTTTCCATCCCTTTTGCTCCCTCCCTCAGCTGTAGCTCAGTGGGAGTGTTGTGCTGGGAGCAGGCTGGAGTGATCCCCATCCGTGTATTTCCCACTGGCAGGGCAGGGAGATTGGCTGATGGTCAGGGAGTGAGCTATCCCAGTAACGTGTCCCCAGAGGGAATCCTGTAATCTAGGGTTTTAATCCTTTCCTGCCATCAGCCTTTGAGTGCTGGCACCTGCCCAGCTTCCCCTTCCCATGGGCACTGGGATTTCCTGCGGCTCACAGGGCTTGCCTTGATTAAATAGTTCACCAGGAAGAAACGTGTCAATCCTGCTGCCTGCTCCCGGGAAGGATGCAGCCTCACTCCCAAACTCAGGGATTTATTTCCCCACACAGGAGGATGGAGATTTTTGTCCTGTTTTTATAGAAACCAGCTTGGCTGTGTCGCCCCAGTTCTGCTGCAGCTCTGGGAACAGAGGATTGTGGCTGTTACAGCAGCTTTCCCTGTATCCAACAGCACAGGGTCATGCTGTGATGTTCTCCAGCACCTTCCCTGCTCAGGGGGTTCTCTGAGGGGTACCCAGATCTCCCCAAAACAGGACAAACAAGCTGAGCCTTTGCTGCTGCCTTCTCTGCCCCTGCCTCCTGCCTTGCCCCTGCGCTCCCCTCGGCAGCACCCTGCTTCTCCTGCCTTCCTCACCCCTTTTCCCTGTCCTTCCTCCTCCCCCCACCACCATTTACCTGTCCTTCCTCCTCCTCCCACCCCCCTTTCCCTGTCTTGCCCCCTCCTCCCAGCCCCTTTCCCTGTCCTGCCTCCTTCTCCCACCCCTTCCTGTTTCACACTTCCAGCAGCCTCCTGGTGAGTTCATGGGAGCCCCATCTGCTCAGCGAGGAGGAGAGGGGGCTGCCCCCCTTTAGGGGTGCCTCTGCACCCCAGAAAGAAGAGATACAGGCTGCAGGTCACAGTGTGAGGACCCTTCCCTCCTTTCACAGCACAGCTTAGCAAAATCAACTGGATAAAAGTCACTGACTGCAGGGCAGAACTGTTCAGCCACGGCTCCATCCTTCCTCCGTGGCCTCCCAAGGACCATTTAGCCTTTGTACTGGATCCAGAGTGAAAAAAAATAGTGTTTTAAGGCTAAAAACCAGGGATTCTGTTCTAGGGAAGGGCCTCCTCCCAGACATTGAGGCAGGGCCTACCAAAACTTGGATGGTTGCTGCAGCGGATTTAGGAAGGGGAACAGCTCAGCTCCATGGTGCCTTGTTGCTTGGTAACGCTTTTAGGAGGTGGAGCTGAAGCCAAACTGGATTTGAGGCATCAGCCTTATTTTTTTGTTAGAACTCAAGGCACTGGGAGCAGAGCAGCCCAGTATGTATTGCTGCTTGTCCTTCCCTGGAAAACAAGCTGTCCCACATCCCTCGGGGGTCACTTCCCTCACACAGCTGTGGTGGTGGGTGAACTCCACATAGCTTACCCTCTGAAGGTGGCCAGGGCACCCTAGAGCCACCAAACTGGGAGCAGGGGGATGATCCCATGGGTTAGTCCAAGAAGATCCCCATCCTTGCCGTGGGCGCCGCAGCGCGCGGCAGGAAGCTTCTCTCTGCTTCTCTGTCTCTCCATCAGATTATCTGTGTGACGAGTCCAGAGGAAAGGAGACTCCCCCGTGTCACTGCTCCCTGAACCCGAGGGAGTCCCCTTTCAACCCTTCCTCTCCACCTCCTGTCACCTCTTCTTCCCTCTCGCCAGTCGTCGGACGACGGTGGCACAGCGGGGCTGGGGGGCCGTGGGCTCTGCGTCGCAGCCATGATGTCAGATCACTCACTGTCACTCTGTTTTTGTTTTTTTTTTTTTTTTTTTTTTTTCTGTCTTCATTTTTGCATGCCACTGTTCTTCTGTATTTGTGCCACAGTAGAAGCGGTAGAGGCACGGGAAGGTATGGCTAGAACCCGGCGAGAGACTTAAATCATCTCCTTGTGTGTGTGTGTGTGTGTGTGTGTGCTGAGTTTAAAGAGCTTTATCAGCCTTATGGAAGCTTTTTACTCTTGCATCACCAGAAGTGGGGGAAGACAAGGCCCTGCTGGGAAGCAAAAAATACCCAGTGGGTTGATTCAAGGCTATTTTAGCCTTAAGGAGGTTATTGCTCAGTGAAACACCTTTATTTGGAGACTCACCGGAGCAGTTCGTGCTCTGGGGCCCCAGGACCTTGGGGTTGGGTCCTGCAATCTGCTCTCCTGACTAACTCGAGGTGGTGAAGGCTTCCAGCACAGTCAAAATCCTTAGGAAACAGCGGATTTCGTGGTGCTGATGTAATCCCTGCCTTCCCCCAGGTGGGCTGAGGTGGAGGAGCAGGTTCCTCCCTGTGCAGTGTAGAACTGACACATCCATGAGGTGCTCTGCTGCTGAATGAGGCCACACATCTCCATAGAGAACTGTTTGCTTCCCAAGGGAAGTTCATTTGGAAACCAGCCAAGTCCTTGTAAAAGGTTTGGCACAACCTCCTTTTTCCTGAAATGAAATAGCACAAAGGAGTTTCACATTTGGTCCATATCATCACGGTGAGGATGACGTGCCCGAAGCCTCACAGTGATGCAGCAGAGACCTGAAACCCCTCGGTGGGATTCATCCCTCCCCAAACTGCCCCTGTGCCTCCTGGTCATGCAAGAATTTTGCCTTTGTGATCCAAGGACTAGCTGTTCCCTCTCCTGGTGTTGCAGTGTGTGGTTTGTGTCAGAGTTCAAAGCCTTGTGGTGATGTCTTTGTTCTGTGGGTTTGGTTTTTGCTTGTTTTTACTCTTACTGTTATTTTTTTAGTATCGTGTTTTTCAGCTTTGAAATTTTCCTGAGATTTCACTCTTTGGGGACAGTGAGCACCTGTCTGGTTCTGCAGCTTCCTGCTGCTTTATGGAAAGAGGGAAGGGTTAGATGGGATATTGGGAAGAAATCCTTCCCTGGGAGGGTGGTGAGACACTGGCACAGGTTGCCCAGAGAAGCTGTGACTGCTCCATCCCTGGAAGTGTTCCAGGCCAGGTTGGATGGGGTTTGGAGCAACCTGGACTGGTGGAAAGTGTCCCTGCCCATGGCAGGGGATGGAACTAGATAATTTCCAGGCCCTTCCAATCCAAAATAGGCTGATTCAATGATGACCAGTGCCCAGACTGGAATTTGGGACATCCAGAGGTGGAACTGGGTGATCCTTAAGATCACAGAATCACTTATATTAGAAGAGACACCAACTATTCCATGAAGATAGAAGCTCTTAGGGAGCAGAGCAAGTAGTGGAATCCTAAAGTTTACTGCCACACTTCCCACTGCCAATCCCAAAAACTCCCTATGGACCCACCTCACCCTTCCCCGAGCCACACAGATGCTTTCAATCCCCTCTCACTCTGTCCATGTGTGTCCTGAAGGGGAACAGACAACTGGGACTAACTCCTTTCCACCTACCTCTAGTGAGGGAGAATCCACAGCCTCTCTGGGCAATCTCTTCAGTGCTCCTAGGACCTTCTAGGTCCAAACCATTCCAGAAAAACACAAATGCTTAAACCCTAAACTTTCCCACCAATCCCAAAAAGTCCCTCTGGACCCACCTCACCCTTCCCCAAGCCACACAGGTGCTTTCCATCCCCTCTCCGTCTGTCCCATGTGTGTCCTGAAGGGGAACAGACAACTGAGACTAACTTCTATCCACCTACCTCCAATGAGGGAGAATCCACAGCCTCTCTGGGCAATCTCTTCAGTGTTCCTAGGACCTTGTAGGTCTAAACTATTCCATGAAAACACAAGCTCTTAGGGAGCAGAACAAGTGCTCAAACCCTAAACTTTCCAACCAACCCCCCAAACTCTCCCTCTGGACCCACCTCACCCTTCCCCAAGCCACACAGGTGCTTTCCATCCCCTCTCACTCTGTCCCATGTGTGTCCTGATGGGGAACAGACAACTGGGACTAACTTCTTTCCACCTACCTCCAGTGAGGGAGAATCCTCAGCCTTTCTAGGTAACCTGTTCAGTGCACCTAGGACCTTCTAAGTCCAAACCATTCCAGAAAAACACAAA